AAAAATAGTAGAAAAAATGTAAATGAATTATATATGAATTTCCAGTATGATAGATTAGATTACAAATAACCTTGAATTAACTGGAAAAGCAAAGTGACATTAACAAATACTTCAACTACAAACTGGCTTCAATACTATCAGTGGTCATTCCCGTCTAATGTTTCAGTTCCACAGGTCCTATGTGTAAGGTTACAAGTCAAGCAACATATCACCAATCACACCCCAATATAAAACATATAAGAAGACAAAACCAAAAGATAATCAAATTCAAGATCTAGGTCTATGCTAACAGAAAAGTACAATCTGCTTTCTAATATTAGTACATAAAAATATTTGCGCTCATATGCGTAAGATCTTAAACTTATTTCTCAAACTCTCAAACCTGCCAGTTACAGATTTATAAACAGAAATTATTTCAGATCCATACTCTGTATGAAAAGGCTCATTATGAAAAGGCTCATTGCCTTTAGATGTGATCAAAGCCTTAGATACCATTTTTTAAAAAAATGTTCATTTTTAAAAAAATGTTCAGGTTACAAATATTCAATTTTGGAAAAGAAGCATCTTCTTTAAAAGATATGAAATTATGATTTTTTCCCCCTCTAGCACAGGGGTCCCAACCCCCAGTCTGTGGAGCAGTACCTGGCCACAGCATGATAGCAACCAGTCCAACAAACAAGGAAAGCCCCATCCGTGGGATGCAAGTAGCACACAAAACTATGCACCCTCTGGTCTGCAGAAAAACCTCTCTCCACTGAACCGGTCCCTGGTGCCCAAAAGGTTGGGGACCTCTTCTCTAACATGAATAAAACTTCACTAAGTCTTCTGAAGATGTAGCCTAAAGTGTAAATCTCAATAACATCATGCAGAAACAAAACAGAAAACATACTCAGAACTAAGCATTTTGAAAGAAAAAATATTTTCAACTGTATATCAATACTTTATTTACTTGAGTGTCATAGACTGTAAAAAATATTTCCCTAAATAGAAGCTCACATAGGAGAAATATTACTTACAAAATAATTTGAATTACGGTCTAAAAATAGAACTTTATACAAAAGATATGTTGCTACTATATGTAAGCTACATGACAATCAAACAAATGTTAATCCTAGAAGTTGTAAAACCAAAGAAATAGAATACAATACTCATAGTCCAATTAGGAGTAGAATAACACATGGAAGCATCCAAGACCTGAATTCAATTCCTGCTTAAGAATTTAGCAGTAAATGGTAATTATACCCAGGAAACCATGCATATAGAATTGTAACTTACTGAAAAAAATTGTTACAATGGTACCTCAGTCCTCCCTGGTAATTTGTTCCGGAAGACGCAACAAATACTAAAACTGACAAGTACCAAGAAAACCATGTGATTTACCACATGACCCACTATTTTGGCTGGAAGAAATAGCGAGTTACGAGACAACCGACATCAGCACATTCTTCCATGCACAAGTGCCAGGACAAGATTTCTGCTTCAAAAATGCATCAAATACCAAATTTGATGAGTTTTGAAGCAGTCAGGTGCCAAGGTATGACTGTATCTTGTTACACGTACATGACTATCAATATAATTTATATCTAAGTAAATAGTGTTTGGGTTTTAATATCAATGATTTTTTTAAAAAAAATCATTAATTCTTAGCTTCAGAACACAGGAATGCTAATAAATATGGAATTTTTGTTATTTTCCCCTTCAACAAAATCACCTAAGAGTGGCTGAAATAAAGTTCAACCCAATATGTGCTTATTCAAAATACATCTGCAATGATCGGTGAGTCTTAGTGACACATGCATGTCCATAGGATTGTGACCCATAATATAGTAGCATTCAAATGCACATTCATAGTGCAATCTAATCACGAATATAATCAATTTGGGTTGAGCAGTATGGTCTAGTGGTTAAGGCACCGGGCTAGAAATCAGGAGACTATAAGTTCTAGACCCACCTTAGCCATGAAAGCCAGCTGGGCGGCCTTGGGCCAGTCACTATCTTTCAGCCCAACTCACCTCATAGGGTTGTTATTATGGGGAAAATAGGAGGAAGGAGGAGTGTTGGATATATTCAACACTCCAGGTTATTTGTAAAAATAATAAAGGTGGGATACAAATAAATAACATTATTCAATAATAAATCATAATTGACCTAAGATCTCAACAACTCTAAATTCATAAAATTCAGACAGTCTAAAATTATTAGGGATACTGTGCAGCTCAGTCCTATGCTGCCCTGTTAGATTTTTGCTAGAAAAGTATTTGTAAATCTCCTCCAGACAGGGAAGGGTTTCTTCTGCTGATGCAAGCAAGCATGCTATTGAATTCAATTGATCTTAAGTCGTAATAAATCTGATAAAATCAGTAAAAATTAATAAAATATCACAAACTTTATTTGTTTCGGATATATCACCAAGATTCTAATCCAAAACACATATCATCATAGATTACCAAACTGTAATATCTCTTTTGCAGACTGAAAGCAGGTAGCATTTTATCTTTTATAAAACATCTACATCAACTATTATCAGCACTGTACAAAATCTGTACATTTTTTTAATTCTCAATGCATAAGGTACTATACAAACAAGCATACAAATATACATCTATTAATATATATTACAAAAATTGAGTATAAAACATAAAGCCAAATATATAGCAGAACAAAATAGTTTATGAAAATGTTCATGAAGAGTGGGAAGTATCAGTAAATTCAGCAAAAGAATTGTCATATTAATGAGATGCAACAGCATATAAATTTAATTAATAAAACTATTTTTCAATATAATTAGCAGGCTCCTTATCAAAAAGGAATGGATTAGTATATCACTACATATAAAATGCTCTATGATTGTAAGAATCTTTGCCAAACAATTAAGAAAAGGAATTTGATTTTAACATTTTGGTAAAATTTCAGTGATGTTGTAACTGACCTTCATGGAGCAATTCCTGGGCCTAAATCGATTCCACATAGCATCTGACCTTTGCAGGTTCTCTTATTTACTAGAAAGTATATCTCTGAGTACAACTTTCTACACTCTATGGTATATTTCACCTATCCTCTTTAAATAACAATGATGCCCATTAAATATGATTTCATTTGCACACAGCAAAACAGAAGTTATTTTAAAAGATCAGTTAAAAAATATTTACAGTGACATCATTAACTTAAAACAGAATCAGGCAATATGCACCTATGGATAATTCCACCTGTGCCTCTAATATGCTCTGCTGGTGCATATGATTTAATTAATTCTTAATTTTTTCTCCAGAAATCCTTTTAAGAGAAACATCAGACTCCAGTTACCTTCCACATTTATCTCCCAATATAACTGGATCCAAAATATGTTATTAGTGAATTAAGATCCTGGAGTCCAGTATTCCATTATCAATTGCCAAACAGTGAAAAATTAAAAAAGAAACAAATGACCTTACTGCTTAGAGCTTAGAGATGGTAACAAATGAAGACATCGAACTGATTTCAAGGAGAATTAGAGCTAACCCAATGCAGTAGAAAAGGGGACGGGAAAACATAAGCAAATATCATATGGGCAACAGAGGGCAAAGGGGGAAGTTAAATGGTTGGAAGCAGTCTAAAGGTAAAGAAATAAAATTCTTCTAGGAATGGCTTATGTGTGAAAGCATAGATCAGGGGTGTCAAACTCGCAATGTCACGTGACATGTTGCGACGTACCATGATTTTTTTGCCCTTGCTGGCAATGGGGTGGGTGTGGTTTTGCTATGATGCATCCAGCCCAAGGGCCAGGAGTTTGACACCCCTGGCATAGATGAAAAGAACTTGAGGAGTAACCCCGAAAGAAATGTGGGTTCAATGTTATTCTTTAGCTTGCATTGAAGTTTTCTTTACATAATAACTTTGGCATTTTATGAAATGGATACTTTCTTGGAAGTAGATGCATAGGCATTTGTGATACTGATATTTTCTGAAAATTCCATATTCAAAAAGAAAAATTCTAGAACTAAAATTATTCATGTAAGTTATGGTCCATTTTTTATAAAAGCCATATATAAATTATATTAAATTTGAAATTTGGCCATATATTCATAGAATTCAAATCCAGTTAATTATTTCCCAACTGATTTATAAATATTACATAGAAACACCTAAAGAAACCCAGTTCTTACATACAGATATGCTGCAAAACAGGGCAAACAATCCATTATTCTCCTTATGTTTTGGAGTACAGATCCTATCATTCCTTGCCACTGTCCATGCTAATTAGAAATGAGAGGTGAAATTCAAAAAGCTGCTTTCTGTATATTTAAATCCCAATAGTGATTATATCTTACCCTAACAAATTGTTACTGCCCCACAAGCTAAATTTATGGGAGAATTATAGCATATTACATAAAATGTACAAGCAGATATTTTCTAAGATTAAAAAAACCTTTTTACATTGTCTAATATTTAAGCACACAAGACACCAAAGTTCTTTCCTACTCTTTTATTTAACATCTTTTTAAAATCACAATAGATATGAGCCCTTGGGATATCGGCATATCTTTTTATTATCTTCAGAATATTTTATTTTCTATCCTCCTGTGAAATTTATTAGAAGTTTGCAAAGAATCAAAATGAACCAGATATATGGTGGCTAGAAATCTAAATATTTGTTTAAAAAAAACAATTCTGCCTCTGACTGGGATTATGTTGTTCCTTTATTTCTTTGTGAAAACAAATGTAGATACATTACTGCCATTAACTAATGTTTAGTTAACATTATTCATGTTTCTTGGATTATCTCTTGGATTCTCGACTACAAAGAATAAAACAGTCTCGAGCTTTATTACTGTTGTGGTTGCTCTACTTTAATATCGGAGCAGGGCTCGCCAATTCGGAACTTAGATCCTTCCACCAAAGAACAAAAAACAAAAAGAGAAGCCGGGAGAAAGGGAAGAAAGAGAAAGAGAGGGAGAGAGACAGAGGGAGGGCGAGAAAAAGATCATGATTAGAATATAGCAGTGGTGGAATTTGAAATTTACCTGAAAATCAGCCAGTATCATTTCTCTATCCATGTTGGACGCTAATGCAGCCGGGAGCGGCCCCTCCTCCTGCCTGAACTGTACACTTGGAGGCTGCTGCCGGCAAGACCCGGGCTCAAGGGGGTGGGGGGTGGGGGGGGTGGGAAGAGAAAGGAAACTACGCTCTCATCTAAACTCCAAACTTAGGTCAAGCCCTCACAGTCTGCTCCCCGAATGCTTTCCCTTCTTCCTAAACACGCTGTCCCGACCACTAGAAGGGCGGAGGAGGGAACTGAAGAGTGCAAGGCAGCAAGCCAACCCTGCCTTTAAACAAGGCGAATAGCCTCTTAAGTAGCTTCCTCCTTGCCCAGCGAGCGGCTGTCGCACATTTTGCCTGTCATTGAAGTCGCAAAGAGACGCTTTCCGGCTGCCACGTGACTGGACCTCCTGTCAAATGCTGGCCACCGATAAAACCTGGGAAAAGAGGGAGGGAGGGAGGGAGGCGCTTTCGGCTATTATGTAAGAGTGCCGATTTGGATGCGGGAGCGGGGTGGGGGTGGGGGCAGAGAAGAGAAAGAGACGGCAGGAGGTTCCCACCGCCCCCCCCCTTTTTTTAAAAAAAAGAAAAAGAACGAAGGGTGTGGTTGGCGGGCCTGCAGAGGTCCTTCAGGAGATACCGATTCTTCAATGAGGAATGGAAAGGAGGGATGGAGCCTTGCTTTTATGAAAATGTCGTAAATGCGCTTGCTTTGGCCGTTTGGGTTGTCTGCCCCATGCCGCGGTGTTAAAGCCCTCCTCGCGGAGGGAGCTTTGGAAGGAAATAAAATGATTGCGGTTACTCCAAAAGTTGCATGCAGTATTCTGGGATGGAAGGGTTGCGATTCTGTTCCTTAAAAGGATTGTTGTTTTGCACATAGCGGATTTTTTCTGTCTATTTAGCTTGTAAAATAGGCTGGGGGGAGGATTGTTTTAAAGTAAGTAGTGCAGGGGCATTTTTGGTATAAGTTAGATCTACTCACCAATCTCTTAATTAAATGTATGCTGACTGCTATACCTTAGATCCTTATTCTAAGTAGATTTATGTCAACTGTCCTTTCCAGATAATTCATAAAGGTATGGAGTCTAGAGTTGCAACCAATAGCAAATTGAATATGTTCCTATTGTGCTGTTTTTAAACAGCCTGGGGCATGGTAAATAACAATCCTAACTAGAACAGAACTGCAAAAATCTGGCTCACCATTACTGTAGGTCTCCAGAAAGAAAAGCAGAAAAACCTGCCCTCTACTGACCATCCAGAAATTTGCCACAAAATCTAGTCGCTTTATAAAAATATCTCGGTTTTGTGGTACGCCATTGGGAGAAAGCTAGGGTAAGCCATTGTTATAAATAAACTATTGCTACTTTTGATGTCAAACGAAGAATTATCAGTATTGTTCCAAATATAAGGGATTGTCATACATTATACATGGTTGAAGGTAGACTGCTTAAAGTCATTGAGGCACTCAGATCTACAGTACATTGGTTATAAACTGCAATACAAGAGAAAGCAACCTGGTGCTCTTCAAACATTTGGATTAACTACTACCATACTGCTAATGGTAATTAAATTTAAATTGAAAACATCTGTAAAACAAGTTGGCTATTTTAGTGCTAACAGAGGGTTGTAGAATGTCAGTTTGCAGTGAAATAACGACAAGCCTTATGAATTTTCCTGGGGAAACCAGTGATAATGAAAATAATAACATAGCAACTGTATGCTGGGAAAGTGATTATTTAAAAATTTGAAATGGTACATTGGCTGAATGTTTGATTTGGAATAAAATATAAAACTTTAGATTACTTACACAGTAGTGAAAGTCAATGAGTGTAAAATCAAACTAAAGTATTGAATGAGACCACATTTCAAATTACAGGAATGTACAGGACACAAGAGACTTGCTTAATGAGAAAAAAGGTACTGTACAGCAGGGCGATTAATATCTTGAAGCTGCACTTTTAAAAAATCTACATAAGTTGCAACAGGCCGAGCCATGTTATAGTAATGTCACACAAATGGGCAGGTTTTAATGTGAGCTTTGGGATGGGTGAAGTTTCTTTTGCTTTAATTAAGTTTAGTTTTTAAAGACATGTTTGTTGTTAAATAGGAAATGACACCTCTATAATAACAGGGTTTGCTTTTATATTTTAGCAATGGAATTCTGGAAAACCTCACTTGGTCATAATCCAAGGAGTGTTCAGCCCTTAATTTAAACCAACTCTGTATAGAAGACTTCCTCTACATCGGTTTATCTTTTCTATTTAAGCCTACTACCAGAGATTTTAAAATATGTGTATATCTGAACTTTGTATGTAGCAACTCATTTAGGTCAAATATGCATGTGTCAGAAGAATCCAGAGAAAGAAATATTTTGGGGAATATTAAAAAGGCAGAATATATTTCTCCAAAGGAATAATGGAGATGCTCTTTAAAAAGGTAGAAACTTCTCTCTCCCCCCAGCCAGAAAACTCAGCAGAAACCAGTGTTTAGAATGCAGATGTAATAATCCATTCAGGAAGGTTGGAGCCAGGAACCTAGAAACTGATGAGATTAGGAAAATAAAGACCCCTAAAATCTACATACCCCACCCAAACTCTAAAAGACATGACCTTTGAGGACATAATAGGATTAATCCACCAATACCAAAAGGTCACACTTAGACTCAGATCAAACTACATGACACAGGAATACAAAGCCTCAAACAGGAATAGGAAACAACCTCAAAAGCCCAAGAAGGTATAAAAACCTACCATTCCCAGCTACATGTCAGCTTTCCCAGAGCTATGTTTCTGTCTGGCTCTGCCCTTCAATAAACTACAATTTTCTAAAGCAGTCTCCATTTTGTTTATTCCTTGATGAAGATTTTTCTTTCAACACATGCTTTTTATATCTTTTATTTTCAGCTGATAATAAAACTTAATACTCTGGCAGTACTTGAAAAGGAAATTCAAATCTGATTTGCTGACCTATGACCTTAATAAAAATTTGATTTACTTTGATATAGCTTTAATATTAGACTATGACTGTGCCATTTATACTTACCCTTGGTATATATATTTTGGAAATAACTTCTTTTTGCCATAGTACCCTGGTTATGCTTATTCTTAGCCTATGACTGAGACAGGTTTAAATTATCCTTAGCTTGTAAATTATCCTTGTAAGTCATTAGCATCCAGCAACAATTGAAAGTTATGTAAAATCTTTTAAGCTTTATTTCTCACTGAGTTGAAGATATAGACAAGTACCAGTTACATGTGAGGTCATGAGATACTGTGAAGAAAAGGGAAAGAACTCCCAAATAAAAATACTGCCCATGATTCTGCTCCCTTTGTGATTGATTTGGTTATTGTTTTGTTTAACTTGTTTTCAGTTTGGGTTAACACAGAATATGATGTAAGAAGAAAGTCAAAAGAAGAGACCTAGTAGTAAACTCCTGCAATCAGATACACCCCATTCTTACTGCAGTCGCAGTGATTACATATGTATTGAGCATAGAGGGCAGTAAAGCTGGAAGACTCAACCAATTGCTTTGTCTATCCAGCACTGTATTTGCATAATCAGGACAGCATGTGTTGGAACAGAAATAGGCTTAGCAATGAGAGCAGCAAATTTCATGCTGGTATAGTTTTCTTCAATTGAAGCATGGGTATATAGCATTTAAAATTAAGAGTAGAGAAATGGTAAAACAAAATATGCAGGAAGAGTTTAGTCTAAATCATGATTCACACCACAGTTTATTTTTCAGTAAAGATTTCGCTTATGGAACATACGATAAAATAAAAAATGATTCCCCATATGCATGGAGTACCATAACAAGCTATCTTTATACTGATTCAGCATATTGTCCTGCTTAATTACTGTCAATATTGATTGGAACAACATATCATTAAATGATATTGTTTGCCTTTATGTAGTAGAGATAATATGCAATATACAGGGATGTCCACAGCTACAGTTCCTGGCTTTAAAACCTGAGTTGTGGCTTGGCAATACAAGCCCCACCTATTTTTAAAATGCACATTTTAAAAAGGGATGTGGCTTTGCTCAACCCATTACATTATTTTGAAGCCTATAAGCAATGCAGAGACTCGTGTAACAGTACAATTCTACATATGCTTCAGCCTAATAGCTCTTACTTCCCAAATAATTTATTGGATTTGAAAGCTGCCTATTTCATCAAATGACTCATTATAGGATTTTTATTATGCCACAATGTTTTTCTATTAGTAATCTTAATATCCAGGATCATAGTGCAAATTCCATGCATAATTATTGAGGAATGGAGTCTTATAGCCATTAGCAAACTAAACAACAGTGGTTCTTATGGGCAAATATATTATTTCAACTGATGATTGCTCTTTCTCATTAGAAGTCTTCCATACTAAATCTCTCCTTCCTATATATGTCTATGTGCTCATGAAGAACTCACCCTAAAAAAAACAATTTGCCACTGACATTGGAAAGACTCATAAACCTTTTTTTCCCTCTCTCTCTCCTAAGTTTTTCCTTGTGATAGCAGGAAAATATCTTTAGTTGGATAAAATGAGTCCTGTTGATTTTTGTGGAGCTTATTTTATATACAGGAATGTGCTGAGATTGTTTTGTACCCTTTTAAAAATAAATCCAATAAATGTGGAAATGAATGTGGGTTATCTAAATTGATCTAGATTTATATATGTGGCTTAACAAATTAAACTATTGCATTAGAAGTGTCTCTAAAATGCAGAAAATTAAAGCTGTCTTCAAGGGCTTTTGTTATTATGGCTATGATCTCAAGCCACTCTAAGCGGGTTTTTTTTTTTCTGATATAGTTCACTGAGAACAAGCATAAGTAGCATGCTTCCAGTATAACAGTATATTCTGTATCTGAGTGATAGATTATGCTACCTACGGTTGTCAGTTACACTGATATTATTCTGTATTTGCTTGGTGTGTTGATGAACTTCTCTCTTGCTGACTGAACTTGGTTATCCTACGAAGTTGTTATACATCTTTTAGGCAATGATAAAACTTCCTATTATTTCATGCCTATTTCCTGACGGCTGCCAATGAGCACTGGATTTACCTGCCAAGCAAGTTGAACCTGTCAAACATAACTAAGTCACACTCCTCTAAGTGTTTTGTTTGCATAGTTATTATATTCATGCATGTATTGTTAAGATACAATTAAGGTATAGCAAAGCATCACCAATGCAAACAAAAACAAAAGTCAGTTGTCAATTTCCTTGACATCTAAGCAATGTACCTCATTCTGAATATTTATCTAAAGATGAATGAATCCTTAGGGAGAAAAGCAAATGGAAATGTATGTACCTTCTTTCCATGAGAGCAAGGCTGGAATTCTTGATATTTAGATAAAGCAAATAATTACGTTTTTCAGCTTT